TTATAATTAGGTTGTTTGTTTTTTGAGAGAGAACGTGAGCATGCACATGCTTGCCTGTGAGAAGGGGAAGGGAGAGGGAGAAGAAGAGGGAGAGGGAGAGAGAGAATCTCAAGTAGATTCCCTGCTAAGCACAGAGCTCAACACAGGGCTCGATGCAAGGCTGAATCCCAGGACCCAAAGATCACGACCTAGGCTGAAACCAAGAGTCAGCCGCTTAACCAACTGGGCCACCCAGGTGTCCCTATAATTAGTTCTATTTCACAGTCAATATTAGCATGTGCAAAATGGAAACTGAAAAGGTAATTAATTAATCATGATCTCCAATAATAAGAAGAAATAATCTAAACTCTACTCAAATTGGAAATTTGTCAGATGCCCTGTGAAAGAGTAAACTGCGGGCCAGAATAAAGGCAATACCAAAGTGTGTGTGGAAAGCCTGCACGTAATTATGGCCTCATCACTGGTAAGCCATGCCACACCCAGGACTTTGTTTCACTGAACTTTAGGGTTCTTATCTGATACCAGACTGGAAGATCTCTAAATTCCTTTCCATTCCTAACATAAGATTCTGCCCATAGTATTATCACAACCACTTGTTTTCTTTTTTAAAAATCTAACTTACTCAAAATTTTTTCACCATTGGTCTGAAAAATGGGAACCCATTTCATTCTTTTAAAAAATAACTTGTTTGTGTAATTTTGCAAGCCCTAACAGATCTGGGTGGGAATCATAGGTGGCTGCTAATATTCAAAAAGAAAGATAGCTAGACATTGTGAGCCTCCATGTTGATGATACATCACCATCTATGATGTTTTGGGAAATATATATATTTATTCAGGTCAAACCTCAATTTAATTAAGCCCCTAGATGCAATGATCAATTTATAGGGACACAGAGTTAATGGCATAGCAGAAACGAAATCAGCAAAGACAGATGGTGGGAAATTCATAGACAAAGGACCTTAGTTTGTTCAGCAAAAATTATAAGAGAAAAAGGAGACATGGAGGAGGAATCTATAGATTTAGAAGGACTTGAAACACATCTGATTATAATCAGATATAAATTACAATGCATGTACCTCCACCTTCAAGCTAACAAATTGTATTAAAAATAGAAGACTATGGGGTATCTGCCTGGTTCAGTCAGTAGAGCATCTGACTCTTAATCTCAGGGTTATGAGTTCAAGCCCCATGTTGGGTATAGAAACCTCTGAAAAAGTACCTCTAATGTTTCACAAATTCTATAAAATACAATAGCGTTTTCAAATTTAAATATGGAGCAAAACGTTTCTGCTGCTACATAGCTATGAACTTTCTTATCTAAGGTAAAAGGTTTAAGTCAACACATCAACCAGTACAATTGCTGTAACTCTTTCCTTGACAGATCAGATTACCCTAAACAAAGATCTATAGTTCAGATATTTTCATAAACAACCACCATATATAAAAAATACAACAGGGTAAAAGAAAAGCAAGTTCAAGCACCTGTCTTTCAAAGATAAAAATGCCTCCTCAGAGTAAAAAGGGATTCAGTAAGTGCTTATTGAGCACCCGCTATGTGTCAAGATGTCCGGGTACACTTCCTCAAAAATATAAGTCAAGGTTTCTTGTATTACATTCATCCATTACTTTCTGGAAATAGAAATGTGAAGAGTACAAATACCAAATAATTATGTGCACATGTAGGTGTGTGTGTCTGTGCATGCACTTGTGTGAACAAAGAGATATACAAGGATACACTGTACACTAAGTTTTCTTCATATGTACCAGGACATAGATTTTATCTGCTTAAAAAACCTCACCCTGATGTCTGGTAGCATTTAAATTCAGAGGATTTTTATATGAAGGCACAAGGCTCTCTAAAAATTGCCAAAATGGCATAAACATTAGGAATATTAAGTGGGCAGGTCTAACAAAGATCTTGATTAAGTACAGTTTAGCTTGTACCGGAGTAAAAACCTAGATGTCTTTTGTGCACGAACTACCTCTGTCTTTCTTAGTTTTATGATAAAAGTAAATAGGCATTTCTTTACTACAGTTATATAAGATGTTATCCCCAGGGAAAATTGGATGAGAGGTACATGGGATCTCTCTATACAGTTCTAGTTGTTGTTGTTTTTTTTTTTTTGCAACTTCTTGTGACTATAATTATTTCTAAAAAGAAAAAATTTAAAGTAAAGCACATTGAAACTACTGATGCCATTCTCTGCGAATAGGGAATAAGCAGAATCATTTTAAAACCAAAGGTTCCGCTTAGACAAGTCCTACCACTATACATAACTTCTGTATGTGATTGGGACTACATTTTATACATTTTACCACTGGATAGACATTTTATCTTCAGAGTGTAAACAGCTACTGAAAAGCCTGTCAGAATGCTGAGAGAGGCTATTTCTCTTCCAGGGGATTACTTCAATTCAGCAAGCCACAGGGACATTATCATCACATCTCTTTTTGTATGAAGTCTTTTGTGACCACCATTGTCCCCACATCCCAGTGGGACTGGCCTCTCCACCTCTGTATACCATTTTTCCTCAGACACTCATGGAGCACCTGGGGTACCTTCCCAAACTTCCAGTTTGTGTACTCCTTTGTTATGCGAGCTGACTGAAGGCAGGGACTCTGTATATCTTCAGGGTCTTGTGCAGTGTCTTAGTGACAACAGGGGCTCAGCAAAGGCTGAATGAATGAGAAGTAGAAGAAAAGGAAGAAGGAAGGAAGGATAGAAGGGTGGATATGGGTCGACAGATGGAAAGATGGAGATATGGGCCCTCTTGTCCTTAACTGTACATACAGGAAGATTGCCAAGGCCATGCAGTTCTTTTAGAAACATCCATCCTTGTTAGGAGACCATGCCTCTTCAGGGACCTCAAACCCTCCCCAATAAGGAACAGATTCTGTGGCAACTAAACATGGCTGCTGAAACTTGTGGGCTCTCCTCGTCCTGAAATGGAGGGCTTTTAACTGAATGAATGTTGGGGAGAACAGTCTCTCCAAGAGAAACAGTCCTTTCTGAGCATCTGAAGGAAGGCTAAGTGCCCAGAGAGACCATTCTAAGCAGTCTCCTAACCTCCTGCCCCAGGAATCCCAGCACCGTGCACTTTGAACTGAGGGGGTCAGGCAGGTCAAATGTCCATATTACTAAGTTAGAGCAAAAGGAGGCAGTTTATTTCAACAGTTCCCAAAATACAAAAGGCATTACTTCTCTCTCTGACCCTCCAGCCACAAAAGCACAGGTAACATGGCAGGATACAAGAAGTCAAGGTTCTCCCAGAGAGGGAGACCTCTCCAGATCTCCTTTTCTGCATCAGTAAAGGAATCTCATAATAGCTTCCACATGCAGAGATAATGCTTCAGTGTGCATGGTACCAATCAGTGTGCATCAGTCTCAGCACACAAACTGGTTATATATCCCAAGAGTCTATCATGATTAACGATGAAAGTGACCATTTATGGATGGCCTTACATGGGTGAGGTGATTTATGTGCATTATTGCTATTAGAACTCATAATACACTTCCCCACAGAAATAATGGTACGATGACCCAATTTGGTCTCCCCTCCCAAGAAAGCCCATTTAATTCTCAACATCCCTGAGATACAGTGTCATTATCATAGGACCTAATTACCAGGTTCAACACTATTCCCGTGTACAAAAAGAGACACCAGGGCAGCTGGGACTAATGTACGATTCAGGACCTACAGCAACTCCCACTATCATGGGGTCAAGGACACTCACCACCCTCCCAGCTGTACTCACTAGCTGAGCCTTGTTAGCAGAGAATCACCCCACCCCAAGCCAGAGAAGGCAGCAGGAGCTCCAAGATGCTTCACTTGCTCCAAAATCAACCTCCTATTATTTCCTACCATAGACCCTGGGATGGAATGGAGTTTGGGGGTGGGCTGGGGTGGGGTCCCTGGCATTGGCAGTAGAGGCAAAGGGTATACCTGAAGCCTGTGAGCCAACCAGCCAGAGCTGCTGTTTCTATGTATGGCAGGCGATATGAGCCCAAGCTGCTGAAAGGCCAAGTGAAGAAGGTCGCCCGAGCACTTATCTGGAAGTGCCTTTACCTCCACATTGGGAATCTGTCTATCATACTCTTGGTTAGATAAAAGAGACACAACTAACTGGAGAACACCACTCAAGTCAGATTTTTCCAAATGGAAAAGAAAGACGTTTCCGTATGATTTTGACAGGGCTGAGTTTAGAAAAGGAAGCCTGCGCCCCCAGGGAGTGCTGCACCACGAGGACAGTCGAGCGTCTTCCGACATTCACGCCATGACCTCGGCTCAGGACGGCACAAGAGATACACAGACGCCCACGTGGGAAGTTGGGTTAGCGACTGGGAGAACAAAGCTTCCCGGTCCTGACCTTTTGCTCCGTGAGCTGGAAAGGGCAGCAGAGAAGCTGGAGGGAGGAGAGCTTCAGGCCCTGGAGAAAGAAAGACCTGGAGTTCGTTCTCACCATCGCGGAAAGACACGCATGCTCACGCAAGGTGGGGCTGGCCTCTCAGCTGTCTGGTCCTACTAGTAAGGAAGCTGGCATGCGGTCGTCCTGAACACAGCACTTCTCACCACCAACGGGGTGTGTGTGTGTGTGTGTGTGTGTGTGTGTGTGTGCCATTTTTTTCCTCCAAGTTCCTCAAAGGATGCAGAGAAATGCAGTCTCATTCCGTTCATTTAAAAAATAATTATTAACTGGCAGTGAGAGCCGTGTATGGAAGCACAGTAATGTGAGCCACAGGGGAATACTGAAATGGCCTGGAGGCTGACGGTCACCTATCCAGAGGTGGATAGTGTGTGCCTGTGCACACGTGAAGGGGTGCGGCTCACGCCTTTACAGTGATAACCTACTACACCGCGGGGGTTAAGGCCGCACGACCAGAAGTGTACTCGTGAGCTTCTGTCACCGTCACTAGGCACAGGCTACAGAACAGAGGGGGAGGCTGGAGCAGCCCCTGCCAGTGTCCCCACCCCCTCCCTGCATGGGGGACTTCCTTACTTGACTTGGAGAGTTGTTCATCCTGCGAAATACCCAGGTCATCCGACTCCCCCGACAGCTCCTTGATGAAGTTGGAAGGAAACATTCCGGTCTTTCCATTGAGAACGCCTTCCCACCATCCTTCCTCTACCTGCACAGATGCAAACAAGAAGAGAGATGCAGTGCTCAGGTTAGACACTGGGGTTCCCGGTTTTCTCTTCCATCTGTATGGTGCACAGTACAGAGCCCACACAGGGAGAGCAGAAGGACCCAAAGCTTACAAGCTAACAGGGAATGCAATCGCAGACCTTAGAGCCTTGAGACTCAGACTCAGGAAAGGGGGCTGGACCTGGGGGTCAAAAACACAAGTGGAAAGGAATTAACAATGTATTTTCACTAACCTCAGACTGAAATTTGGCATTTACTTTGGTTATCAAATGTAGGTGAAACAGTAATAGTAGAAGGACCTGTGACTCGTCACCAAACCAATCGTGGACATTTTTGTATCATGTCACAGAAGCTGTGGGTATCTCCAGATATCGCTTGCACCCATCACTACCATAAAGCGGTAGAAGTTACCACACCTGCTGGGGACCTTATTATTTAGTGTATTCATACAGAATTATTTATTAATTATAATAAGAAATTAAACATAGATTATCATATCAAAATCTGCTTTTAAAATAGCTTGATAGCTATTTCGATGGTTCCCTTTGTAATCGTACATTTTATTTTTTATTATTTTTTATAGATTTTATTTATTTATTCATAAGAGACACAGAGAGAGAGAGAGAGAGAGAGAGACAGGCAGAGAGACACAGGCAGAGGAAGAAGCAGGCTCCTAGTAGGGAGCCCGATGAGGAACTTGATCCATGAACCCAGGATGGTTCCCCGAGCTGAAAGCAGATGCTCAACCCCTGAGCCACCCAGGTGTCCCTCCTATGTTTTATTTTATGCATTTAAAGCCATTATTTAACAAGTGACAATGGCTTCCTGGGCTACTAAACAAACTAGATGGCCTGGAAGACCCTTAAGAAGCCCTTAAGAAGCCCTGTGCTAAAAACTCAATCAGAAGGTAGAAGGACTCCCTGCAGGGTTCTAGATTGCCCTGAGATGAAGTGCAACAGGGCAGAAGGGAGGTAGGGAGGGCAGCCAGACTGCAGTCCTCTGGGCAGGGGCGTGAGAGCTGGGTCTGGGGGAGACAGTGATAAGGGAGAAGGCAGGTACGGATTTGAAGGCCCTCTGAGCTGGTCTTGAGTCCCCAATTAGCTGGGACGAGCAAGAGGAAGGTAAAAAGTCATCCCAAGATTTTGTGATGGAGCCACTAACAGAACAGCAGAAGTCAGAAGTCAGAACAGTGAAGTGGCTCCTTGAAGGAAAATAACAGGACATTCTGAGAACAAGCAAGTATTAAGTTACTCACAAGGTGCAAAAGGACGGAAAGAGACTCTGAACCTTTGGGATTTTTTTTTAACATCCACACAAACTGATAAATACAATTTAACAGCTAAAACAATTAAAACAAAAAAGATAAAGAATATTAAAGTCAAAAGACCAGTTCGAATCCTACTGAAGCTCAGCAGTTATATGACCTCATTCAAATTTCCTACCAAACTGAATCCTGGTTCCTTTCTATACAATAGGGATAATGAATACACCCCATCAGTGTTCGAGACAGATATATTATGATTCTACACTAGGGGCTAGAGACACAGAACTGTCCAGGACATGGCTCCCCCCACCCAAGCAGCTGACAATCTACCAAAGTAAAGGGCTGGTGGTCGAATGAGAGGAGAGAACATGTGTGACTAAAAACTCACAATGGAGGCACCTGGGTGGTTCAGTGGTTGAGTATCTGCCTTTGGCTCAGGTCGTGATCCCAGGGTCCTGGGATCAAGTCCCACATCAGGCTCCCCACAGGGAGCCTGCTTCTCCCTCTGCCTATGTCTCTGCCTCTCTCTGTGTGTCTCTCATGAATAAATACATAAAAATCTTTAAAAAAAATACTTGCAATGGAAGGTAGAGAGGCAGGGAAATGCCATGACTCAGCACAAACCTAACTTGTTACACAAAGCCAAGCTCCCCCAGATCTGGGATGCTACAGGAAGGCTCAGAGAAAAAAAAAGAAATCAAAATTAAGGTTGGCCTTGAAGAGGAGAATGGGAGATGTATCTAAGTTAGGGAAGGAGGTGTGTGAGACACTCCAGAAAGGGGAAGCTGACAGAACCTGTGGAATGGAGACCACTAGAATGCTGTTTGGAGGCTTCGTGAGGGAACTCAGGGGATACAGGCTTGCAGAGTGGTGATTATATCTGCATGATCACAGAATCTTCGGGAAAGAATCCAGACATCCAGGCACAACTGTCCCAGTGACTATTCAATACCACACTGTGGCATTTAACAGCATCTCAGTTGAAACCATTCCATGTTTCTATGCCAACTCAACTGATATGTGTTATTCTTTCAAGGAGCTTTTTATAGGATTAGGATGGTTGGGAAAATTCGCCATGAGCCTGAATAGAAATAGTCACCGGATTTGTGGTGGGGGGATCCTTTGTGCTTGTCCTGAATAAGGAACCATAAAATGACCTTCTTTCTCCCAGAATCACAGGGCAGGAGGGAAAAACCAAGGGCATGGACCACAAATGAGCAGTCCCTAGCATAATCCCCAACAGTGTGGGGCGGCTGGGCCAATTCCACTTGATTCAGTTTGACAGTATCTAAAACATTCCTGTTCCCAAATAAGTGGCTCCAGCCTGAGATCCCTGAAGGAAGTACTCCTGATGTGTGGGATTGGTTAGCTGCCTGCTGGGAAAACAGGAGTGTCTTTACCTCACCACACCCCCAGATGCCTGTATCAATGTCACAGCACAGTCTGAGAGGAGTGGCCAAGAGGGAAACAGCACAGGTCTATCATTAGCCACACTGTAAGTAGAGGGGCAGGCAGTAAAACCATGGCTCATTGCCTGGGAGGTACATTTCCCATTACAGGTGCCCTGGCAGTGGCAGGGTGTCTGGCCCCTGTGCCAGTGAGAACTGTTCAGTACTATTTTTTCCTATAGCTGGCTGCTTTAGTTGTAAGATTCAGGCTGGGGATATGAGAAAAAAAAAAAAAGATCCTTACCCTCCCACTATACCTCTTCACCAATATTCTAGAGTTCCACTTCCAGTATTAAGATGAGGGCATTGAAGCCCAGAGCAAATTCATTCATTCATTCATTCACTCATTCATTCATTCAAAGAGTAAAGCATAGTACCTCACACTCTGAATTAAGTATGAAGAGCAAGGAAATCCTTAGGGGAAACCCTCCATGGGGATCTCTGAAGCCCTGACTCCGCCACAGAAGGATCTGCCCCGCTGTGAGGAGCAAAGGGGACCAAGAGACAGGACAACTTTAGCCACTGTTCTTCATTAAGGACCACCAAGCCCAGGTCTATGTGTCCTCCCTATTCGACCAACATTTATTGAGCACCTGTCCTGCAGTGCTCTAGGACTTGGGAGCAGATTCACTGGTGAACAAAACAGAGAAAGACTGCTTGAGAAGCTCCTGCAACAAAGGAACATACAGAGCCTGCTTAGAAATCAAGCTTGCTTATATTTGTTTCTATATTTAAAAGAGAGAAAGCAATGTGTCTCTTTGTAATAAACTGTGGATTATGGATGTTAGCAAGGGCTTACCATTTCTGCTCCAAGGAGAGTAAGAAAGGGGAAGCGATGTCCACCTTCTCCCCCACCAGCACACATTCCTCTACAGCCTGCCGCAGACCAGGCCTCTAGGCTGAGAACAGCCCCCACCCTGCACCCCTGGGCCCAACTCAGCCAGCTCTGGAGCCCAGGGCTCCATCCTGAGAGAGAACCCTACCTTCAGCCCAGAGCTGGGAATAGGTACTTTAACACCTGGCAGTGTTTGAGAAAGAACGACACAGTAAAAGCACTTCAACAGTTTGTGGGGGGGAGGAGGCTGCAGTTCCCATGTCTTCACAATCGCCAGCATCTAAGTGAGTTCATGGCCCAAGAAGCTCATCTCTAGCTATTTAGCCCTGTTGGAAGTTGAGTAAGCAGCAGGGTGAATTTCTACACTTCCATCCACCCAATTTTATACACATTAGCTACATTTGTAAGGCACTACAGAAAGGATGCCTGTGGATGCAAAGATGACTATGCTGAGGTACATAGCTATTTGGAATAGTTTCGACTTATCAGAGTTGAGGTTTTACCTGTTAACTGTACTGAGAAACGCAACAACAGCTTTACCAAATCTAAAGTCTACCTCAAGATGTAACAAGACAGAAAAACCCATTTAAGGGCTGTTATAGCTTTCTATGTGCAATTAACCATTTGTAGCCCAAACCTCAGTCAGAAGCACACTGTGGGGGGGGGCATGTATTGGAGGGGGGCGAGTTGTGAGGGAAGCATGGTGGGGGGAGGCACATGGCGAAATGAGGTCAGCTTCATTGTTCCCAGAGCTGTTTTACCACTCTTTCCAGAAAGGACAATGGAAAAGTCAAGCTTTAAGGAAAGGCCTACACCTTAACATTACTAAAAATTTCCTCAAAATTTATTCAGACTTCATAGGTTCTATTTCTAGGAATTTAACCATTTTCTCTAGGCGGTCCAATTTGTTGGTGGATTATTGCTCACAGTAGTCTCTTTTGATCCTCTGTAATTCTGTGTTGTCATTTGTAACCTCTCCTCTTTTCTGATTTTATTTATTTGAGTCCCCTTTTTTGTCTTGGCAAGGCTAGTTAAAGATCTATTTTATCTTTTCAGAAGACCAACTCTTAGTTTCACTGATCTTTTCTATTATCTTTTTAGACTAGATTTTATTTACTCACTCTCTAATCTTGGTTATTTCCTTCCTTCTACCAATCCTGTACTTCATTTTTTCTTTTTAAGTTCCTTGAGAGTATTACACTAAGTGAAATAAGACTGGTGGTTGCCAGAGGCAGGGGCTGGGTGTAGGTGAAGTAGGTGAAGGTGGTCAAAAGGTACAAAATTCTAGCTCTAAGATAAATAAATCCCAGGGATATAATGTATAGTATGATGACTATAGTTAACAGTGGTGTATCATATATTTGAAAGCTAGTAAGAGAGTAGACCTTAAAAAAAATTCTAACTATGTGCGATGATGGATGTTAATTAAACCCATT